TATATTTTTTGTCTTTGGGGCTACTATATTTATTTACGTCTTTAGTTACTTTGTACTGTTTCGAGTTTTTGCCTCAAGTTGAACTTTTCTATGCTCAGTCATATAAAGGGAACTGGATAACTTGCCACAGTCAATTTGTTGTGGGCGACAAATTGAATTTTTCCTACCTCAGAGAAATCGTTCTCAGTTACTTAAGGCACTTTGCCCTCCAAACTATCAGGGAGAATACATTCAAGTTATACATCTACTATTTTGTGTAAGACATTTTTCATTTGACAAACAAGAGAATAAACTTGAGTTAACAAGACCCTTAAAAACTGAATACAGCCAAAATTTGTACCAATAAAAGGGTATTACTATGAATATGAAACAAAAACTAACAAATCCACTACAAAAGTCAACTTATTATTCATATTACAGATACTTTATGTAAGATTATAGTTTCATCCTCATGTATTTTCACATTCTATTATTTGAATAAAAGAAATGGTAATATGTATTTGAAGGATGTTTCTGCATTCAAAGTACAAAACATGAATCTATGTCTAAAGGGAAGGACTTGACAAAATGAGAACACCCCTTGATTTGGTATGCATTAAAGGATTTGACCTCTTCAAGATTGTTCTAAGGTAGATTTATTATTATATCGTTCCACTCTTGAAAGAACATTTTCCTTGGTAAAAGTAAGCTTTAGAATAAAATTATCTTAAAATAATTATTGTTTGTTTTATCACTCCTGCAATTTTCATTACAAACAAAATGTTGGAGCTTCTTATATTCTTAATGTTGTTACGTAAGAAGATAATTTAAGAAGTCAAAATGTGCAAAAACTAGAATATCAAGAACTCAGGCAAAAAAGGCAATAACTATTATAATTTAGGTTCTTGAATCAGAGAAAACCTAAAAAAATTCAACTATATTTGAAGTTGGGATGTAAAATTGTTGTTTCCTTTGCATTTTATTTGATTCACATTCAAAGCCTCTCCACTTACACTTTATTGCCTACTAGAGATAATGTATTAAGTATTCCTAAAACTTCATCCTGTTCATTCAATAAGACGCTTCAGTTCTTGGTCGCCTTCATCCAATTATATGAAATACCCACCTCGTCCTATGATTCTCACGTAAGGATCTGTATTTGCTGAAAAAATACTAAAGTTATCATTTTTTGTAATAAAAAAATATAGCTATACCGGTAAACAATTTTTGAATAAGTATGAATATTGTTAGGGGAAACAAGCAGCCTGACTATAAAATGCCGTCACCAATGCTGTGACTAGGACAAAAGTCCTTACAGGTGAAATCCCACATCTAATTCAGAATGCATGACTGAATGTAAATAACCTCGAGCTTAACCACTGTGGTGATGTATACTGAATAGCGCAGAATAATTTCCTTTTTATATTACTTTTTAATATATTTTGTAAGCTTTCTTGCAAGCTCCGACTTACTTAATAACTCTATTTTAGAACACTCAGCAGAACTAAAGATCTAGATTAATTATTTTATTTATATTAATTGATAATTTTTACTATTGATATTTAAATTATTTTTATATGGCCATATTTTTAGGTGTTAAATACATATTTTTCTTCCAAAACTACTTATTTTTGCCCCTAGTAACTAATAAGGAGATCAAGTTGTTATATACTTTATTTGTTACTTTTCCAATTTAGCTAAGTTTGTTTGAAGAAGTAAACAACTAGAGAAAGTTGAATTCATTCATTTGTCAGGGAGTGGATCATCATGGGATAAGAAACCTGAGCCATTCATGTGTTGGAGTCTTGAAGAATGTCTTCAAGTAGGTCTTCAAGTAATTCCTTCCTCAGCAGATCTTGAGAGCTTTATTGATTTCACATGTCACTCTTTAAAAGTTCATCCGAGGTCATGGTACAAATTGTTTGTTTTACTTATATTTTCTGGTTGAAGAAAATAGAACATATTACACACACCAATAGTTTTATATGTTTTGAAGTGTTATCCCTGATAAAAATTGTTTACTTTTTCATATTAAAAACCAACATTGTGTCTGGACAAAACGTAGAAGAAAGCGCAAACGTTTGTTGGGGAAAATTAAGTTTCAAAAGAAAGCGTTTTTTTTTTTCATACAAATAAAATATTTAGATAGTATTTCATTACCCACGGTCATCATATACTATATTACTTATCCTACTTTAGTACTTATCCTTTTAACAAGTTTATTACTCACTTAAAAATGATTTATGACATTACCTCAGGTAAAATATTTACATTTACTTAACATTTCACCACCTTTTCTATATACTTAAAAATAAAAAATCAATTCACCACTGCTGCCAATCGGGTATAGCAGCTCCGACATTTACATAACGTTTGGTAACAGTTTAAAATATACTTAAATATTTGACTATTTGTATAAACATTCGCCAAACAAGCCTTGCCCATTCCAACGTGTGAAATGTCAGTCTGGATTTTATGTTTCCATCAATTAACCTCCTACCTGTCTCATTATCATATTGTATTGCTTAACAATGTCCCTATTTTTACTAAATTTTCTACAGCTTTATTGGAGTTAGTTTTCAAATACATAAAATATTTTTCTAGTTGTTAGAGGTACATCCTTTTAGCGAATTTCCCTATAGGGAAGTAGCTGTTACCGTCGGTCTCATGGTAAGACCTAAGCCTGGGACCGATTTCCTTTTTCATTTTGATGTTCCCAGAGGCCAAAAACACCATTCGTTCAAATTTTTATATATCTATATATAGAGATATATATATATATATATATATATATATATGTGTGTCCATCCGCACGATAACTTGAGTAATTTTTGTCCGATTTTGATAAAATTTGGTTTGAAGGTGTAAGGCGGGATAAACTTGAATGAGTTCGCGAACCAGCATGATTGGACTATGGGAACGTGGGTTTATGGGGGGTTTTATGGGGTAAAAATAGGTCTTTCCCATTTTTAACCCTAAAAACACAAAATTTCACAATTTCTTTTTAAACCATTTTGTAGAGCTTAAAAAACAAATAATTTAGTATATTGAAGCGTTATTATGCGCCTAATTGTAACGGAGAAAATTCAAAAAATTGTAATTTTAAAATTCCCATGTTATTTTTATGGAGAATAAGTCAACTAACTGTTGTAGTTTGCTTATTTATGAACATATTATGATCGATTTTGGAAAATACTTTTATTTCTTACTAAACTATTATCATTTATAAAAAAAATCTTTTTTACCCTCCCTGTTGCAGCAAACCTAAGTACTCATTAAACTAATTCTATTTAAATAGGAAATAAATGTGCTATTTTTATGGAGGCATTTTAGTGTAAATCCAATAAGGTTAATGGAAATTCGCTTAGTCTGCAGGTTTGCTGTGGCGGGGGTATTTGTTTTTTATATTGATGATCCTACAGCTAACTCTGAACTATATCTTGGGGTAGTATAAGGTAGCTGAAAAACGATTTAAATCCGACGGTATTTGAACCTGATGCTACTAGGTATCTCCCACTATACCAGCCCACATTTCTTAACTTTTTGACTATCAAAATTGTTTGCAGATTTTTTATAAAAACAATATCTTGATACAAGAAAAAGACAACTTAAACTAAGTAAAATATAAATAAAGTTTTATATTTTTTTGGCTTAATGTATTTTTTTTATTTATATTACAACTATTATTTTATCCTGTTTTGTATCTAAAATTAATAGGTATCTGCCCACTCCAGCTTCAAAGCATTCTGTTAGAAGACAACTAACTACAAAGGAGTGCTGGGCGGAGGGTAGTTTATGTTAAGGGTGCAACTTGCTGTAGAGCCCTCCTGTTAAACAACTGTCATTATTCATTTGGTTAATTGGTTCTTGCAGAACTTATAGTGCACTTTTTCTTCACGCTCTGAAACAATTGGAGTTTTCCCTAAATAAACCTTTCATTGAATTAATTAAGATCCAGCTATTTCACTTTCAAAAGATTAAACATTTTAACTGATTTAAAAATTTGTATTATGTTACCAAATAATTGTAATTTAAAATATTTTGTTCCATTTAAAACAAATACAACCAAGATTTTTGAGTAATATGTTGTTTATTTAAACTACCACCTACTTGGGGCTTTATAAAACAAGTAGAATCAGGACCAAGTCATGTCTTCCATTTTGCCTGGCGGAGTACGGACCTTGAGGGATCCATAACATTGTGAGGATAAAACCGTAAAAAACACTTCTCAGAACGGCTGGTCCGATGGTCAGACCTTCCGATTCTGGAAATAGTATAATTACCAAGATGCTACCTCACTCGATCAGCCTAATACTAATACAGAGATAGTTAATACTAGCACTAATATTTGGTTACATACTAAACTTTTCAATTCTAAAATATCTGTACTTTTCATTTTGTTTTCTTCATTATCTTTAGTTGATCTGTAGAGCTTGATGTACAACAGCTAGCTCTGTTTATAGATCAAATACTTTGTCCAGTTGGTTGTTCTTGACATTCTCAGTTTGTTTCAGTCCACATATTTTTCCTTAACATTGTATTCCTTTGTATGGATTTTTTTTATCCTCCAGTTCATTCTATTTCAAGTGATAAAGCCAAGAGCTACAATATCAGAGACTGCCTACCTCCATAATGTTCCTTGTTTAACTAGGTTTAAGTTTCCAACATTCCAACATGTTTAGTTGGTCTTTCACTAGCGTTCTCGTTAGATCAATATAGTAATGAATCAGGCAACTGACAAACATGCTAATGTCAAGCATTTTCTAGAATTTGTGCGATCTGCAGGTCTTGGTAATAACAAAGCCCCACAAAGGATCATACTTCATTCTACAGTTATCATTCTCTCATATGGGTTAGAAATAAACTGGTGGCATCCCCATGTAAAATGGTAATACTGTAATTTAATGTTGTAGGACTTTTCTCCATTCTTCTGAGCTCCAATTCACAGCCTCTCCAGCCCAACCTCCAAATACTCTTTACTGACTAAGTGGTATATAATGTGATGTTGATGGTGTTGACAGGTCCGGACGGGTATGGTGAAGGTGAGTGATGGCAAGACTAGACCAACCCCCATGAGACTGCATCTGTCCATGGAGCTACTGAAGCTGCAGAAGGAAGAAATCTCCCCAATAAACAGGAACCACAACCACAAACCATCTCCTACGGACTCTAGGGTGAGTATCTCATTAAAGTTGGGAACATATACCATACGTACCATACATATATACCATACGAGTTTGTATATAACACCTAGACAATAGTCTTGTAATGGCACTTGTGTGAATACATAAAATATAATTGAATATGAACACACTGTTCTGTTCTCAGACATAAATTTGGATAATTATCTTTCATATTTTTGCTTTAACAATATAATTTATGATAAACCTTTTACTTAAAACTCATTACAAATCTGGCGTTAAACTCCTACAAAGTACACTCACCATTTAGTAAGAACAAAGAAAAGTGAAAATAGTACTTATAATTTTGTTTAATATCAACAATGACTCAGATTATCCATAAAATATGGACTGATGCCAAAGAGGGTTTTATGGTTGCCAATATTGAAATTGTTCTTAGATATGTAGGGACAATGTAATTGATAAATTATAGTTTCATTAGCTGATGAGGGAAAATATGCAAATGATTTCGTCTCCTTTGCAGTTATAATTGGTTGGGATTTCATGTAATCCCATTCTCAATCAATTCAGCTAACTTGAACTGTCATATGGTGTTATTTGTGAGATGTATGCACACTGCACAGTGCACAGTACCGCCACCGGTATGCTAATTATTGGCAGAGTTTGTATATTTAGGACTGGCTTTAGCAAGAAATGGCATGATGAGGTGAAGTTGTGCAGTCACTGTCATTCAGACTTTGACAATATTGTCACAACACTGTCACCAGTTGAATTCATTCAAACAGAAAGCTTTGATACCACTGTGTTGAGAACATTCCTCTCTTGGCATTGTTAATTAAGTACCAAAAACTGAGCCAACATTTAGGTGCAAAAACTTGCCTTCATTTAGGTTTCGCAGATAAAACAGACACATGTATAATTAACTAAAAATATTTTCTTAGAACAAATAATTAACATTTTATCAGTAGGCTATATTGATAATAACCCTGCAATGAAAAATATTGAGGGAAACTGTCATAATTTTTGAGTTAAAATGCTACTCGTACAGCATTTTTCTTGCATCTAGCCATTGAAAACCAGTAACAATTTTACTTTTTTGCTAAGTGTACATACTTCAGTGGACTTTGAAATCGCCTGTTTTTGTTTAATGTTTACCACCTGCAAAGTTCAAAACACGAGTGATAGTGGGTCATTTAGTTTTCTTGACCATATTTAAATATTTATGGTCTAAAATAACTTACTTACTACTATTGTTATGAAATATACAATTTTACTCTCATTGAACACATCCAATGAAATACATAAAGTGAATAAAATCACATTAGTTTTGAATTAGACCTCTTTTATTTTCATCTTGTAACCCAAGTCCCAAGGTCTTCAGATTAGTGTGTTTGGTGATCCAAAAATGTTATCTTGGATTAGGTACTTTTTTGCTTCCTCCTCTTCTGCTTTTTTGGCAAAATGATGATGTAATGCTGATTGAAAACCTGTGAAATAATTGTTATAAAAACAAATTTCGGTTAAAATTTCATTTGTTATAAAAGATTTAGTGTTGATCAAAGAATTAGTTTATACAAATTTTACTTTACACAAATTTATTTTTCTACCAGGGGCTTAAACTGGACATGCACTGAATTTAACCTCGCACAAATGATCATTAAAAATCAATAAAAAAAAAAATGTCAGAACATTTTAGTTGTCTTCAGTTAGCTGAGCTTAAATTTACAGCAGTGGACCACTGTAAAGTGCTAGTGGTGCAAAGTTGCTCCTGCGTTAAGCCTGACAGTATAAATTACTTTTATTTCGAGCTCACACATTCATTACAGTTAACTCGGCCAGGATTCAACTGCAGGATTACAGTCTATTCCCTGTTGCTGTCTTCTGTTGTGAGTTGTGATATTAATATGCTTTTGTTTTACTTTTTCATACATTTATCATCAAAAAAGTAATAATTTGATGTAGTATTGTATATTATTTTTCTTTTATACATATATTGTTTTTAACCATTTAAGCATTTTCATAATAGTTTAAGTACCTGCATTCAGTAATCCAAATTGCTTCTTATGGCAACTATAAACAGTAGTTCGAGTGATTCAAACTACGTCTTCCGCCCATTCGCGTCGCACCTGTTTTGTGTCCCTGAATACTCGGTTGTTTTAATGTTTAACGTTTGCCTATCAATGTGCGTGTTCGTGTGTGTTTTATGTACTCAAAAACGACTTTCATATACAGAGGTAAATAACCTGAACAACACCTTGTACGGCTTGAAAATGGTTCCTTGGCAGAACCGAAACTATAGTTGCCACAAGCAGCAATTTAGATTACTGAATGCAGGTACTTAAACCATTATAAATATTCAAACGTAATCTAGAGGCTAACAACTCTTGTAAATAAGCATTTTCCATAATTTTTGTAGGGAACAATCCAAACATCTGTCCTGTTATTAATCAACGTAGACCCAACGACAAATTTACATACTCTACTACATTCACAAAGTTTGTAAAGGTAGCTGGTAGTGTTTAATTCCAATTGAGATTTATTCTGACTCTAGGTGCCATAGACTGTTGGACTACCGACTAACAATCCTATCTAAAAAAAACCTCAATTTTAAATAGTAAAAAATTGTGCAGATAACACAAAATATTTTAAAAAATATAAAAGAAGAAACCACCCTCTGTTGCAGGTGAGGATAGTAGGGGTGACCAGACAGAAGGAGGGAGGTCTGGGACTGAGTATCAAGGGAGGAGCCGAGCACAAGCTGCCGATCCTCATCTCTAGGATATTCAAAGGCCAAGCTGCGGACCAGACGGGGGAACTGTTTGTTGGAGACGCCATCATTAAAGGTGATATTTTGTTTTATACGTCCAATGTAGAAATTTGATCACACTTCATTTGATATTCACTGTGCAATATGGAGTACAGAAGCAATCATCGAATTTTTCCCGTAAAAAATCAGAGTCTGCTCAGTTTTCTATTTTTTTCTATGCTTTATAGTACTTAAGGTCAAAATCCTAATCATTAAAGAAGAATACCAATCTCTAACAAGCGTAGAGACAGAGATAAGTAAGATGTTCTTTTTACATCAACTCGCATGGCAATAAACATGTTTTTTTTGTTATTTTGTGACTTTTACCACACAGTGAATGTGGAATTGAGTAAAACCCTTTTTTCGGAGGTTCATCATTTTTACACACCTTCCTGATACTTTTGGAACTATACTATTAATATTGAAGTCATTGTAGTTTTAGTGCAATGGAATTTGATCTATTTTATGACAAATTGGTAAGTCTCGTAGGTATACACCATTCTACTGAATAAGCAAGACTGATATTGTACACTAGTTTAGGACCTAAGGCATAGCTTTATCAAGGTATAGGAACCCCACTGTTGAACCAACTTTTGAAACAGCAATACCTGATAGAGATTAAACATAATTCCATGCCACTAGGCACTCTTTGCTGATTTCTTGATCAAAGATAGCAGTAGCGAAAGCAAATAGAATCTTTTTTCTTGTTTTATCCATCAACATATAACTGACTGCTCTCGAGTAAAAATATGATAATGCTAAAATGAAATGAGTTTATGTGGAATGGTAATTTTTTTTAAAAATGTGTAAACAAACAAATCAAGTAAATATCCCTTCGATAGTTTATGTATCGCTAAAACCCACATGTAATGCACATTAAACAATCTTACATGGTAATGTGAGTGTGTTCTCGGCCTTACCTGATAAGTAACATATTTCTCAATGTTGTTGTTGATGTTGATGTCAATGTTGTTGTGTTCTCCAGTCAACGGAGAACTGATCACAGCTTGTCAACACGATGAAGCAGTCAACATTCTGAGGAACGCAGGAGACATAGTCATGTTGACCGTCAAGCACTACAGAGCTGCTACTCCCTTCCTGCAAAAGCCAAGTGAGTTCCACCAATCATATATAGCCCTTGACTGTAGATTCACTGCCATGGCGTAGACATTTCATGCCTAAGGTAATTCAAGCTTTCATTCACATATAATTTTATTTACAACACTACCATAGAAACAATGGAAAGGGAGAGGGAGAAGAATGAAACCCACAAACAACCTGTTACTGATAAGACATCCCCCGACCATAGTGCCCGGTAGTCTAGACGTAAACTCCTGCCGGTCACGTTGTTAAAGCTAGGCCTAGGCATGCGTGTTACGTGTTTTAAATGTTTTTTATGTTTTGTTAATATTGTGAACTTTGACGACCGCCGGAAGAAGTGACAATGTCCTAGGGAAAACCTGAAGAAGGCTCCATTGTGAGCCGAAACTAGTTGTTTCACAACCGATTGGATTATCAACATTACAGGTATTTAAACCACTTTAAGTTAAGGTAATGTTTATTTGGTTTTAGAATGAAGTTTTAGATCACCTGACAATCAAAAGGTCACAAGTTTGAGCCTGAGAAAATTCAATAAAATAACTTTATACTTACGAGTCAGTCCTAATTTATGTCCTAATTTAAATTTAAAAAAAACTGTGCTGAATTTTTTTAGGCGCAAGTGTTTTAAAGTTTTTAATATGTTAACACATAAAAGTCTAAGTGAACTAAGAATGACCAAAAGGTCAGTAGCTTTTTGATGGAGTTGTCCCACCTGTTCCTAATGATTGATTTAGTAAATGGTCCTGGCTCATGCGGATGTTATTCAGTAAAAAAGCTTTTCAGGATTGTCTCATTCCATTATTTTCCATCTTGCATAGTTTAAATAACCAATGTCAAGAGGGTATTGCTATAAAGTGTTATTTTCATTTTTTAAACCAAATTTACCTCTACAGGGAAACATATAGTTAAGTATCACATCTTTTACATACCCATCAGCTATTCCTATGAAGATTAAAATGTAAAATATAACTTTATTAGAAGTAAATCCAATAAGAACTACAATTTTTTAAACTATTTTTCTTGAATAAAAACTGGTGTAGTAATCAATGATTCAAAATACAATAAGATTGGATATGGTAAAAACCTCAAAATAATATATTTTTACTTTTATAACCCAATAATAACTACAAATACAATAGTGTTTCAATTTAATATTGTTTTTTTTTTTATAGGGCACCTAGATAAAAATACAGTGCTGATAATTATTTCTGTTGAATGATTGATTATACAAGTAGAATTTTACAAAACTCTAACCAGGCTGACACAATCATCCAATAAATTTTAACCTCAATATCGAACAACAAATAGAGTAACACATTGTGTGAATCTGTAATGGCAAAGTTAAAATTGGATTTGGTAGAAGACTGGGAAGTTATAAAGTATACAAGTTTTGGCACTTCCCTATGGATTGGGTTTAAAGTTGTGTTTGAAAAAAGGAACAAGTAAAAATGCACCTTCAAGGTGATATTAGAATTTAATTTTTTACCTATGATGAAATGTGAGTATCAGAGTTGTTGGAGGGTACTCAAATTCAAATCTGAATGCTGCAAGGTCAATCCTCTGAAAAATGTATCATGTACATTGTCATTCATTCACTACTAAGCTGTTCTCACATACAGGGTCGTAAAAAAGTTCCAGGACAGTTAAATATTTTAAAAAATAATGTAGATAGAGCTACAATACTTGGTACAAAGTTACAGGGCATAAAACTCTATTTTAACACATATTCAGTGATCCAATAACTCTTTAGGAGGACGGCCCACAAGGAGTCGGAAGAAAATCTTAAAAGGAAGCATAGGTCAATATGCACATCAAATTAAAGGTATTTTTTAGTAAAATACAATGCCGAAAACCGCACTTCAAAAGGTTGATCTTGGAAAATGGCAGATGTTCAAAGATTTCTTGAATCCGCCATTTTGAATCTTTGAACGACTGCCATTTTTTACTCAGGCATTCTTTTGAGCTTGAATTTACGGCATCCTAATCTACTAGTGAAGACCTTTAATTTGATGTGCATATCGACCTATGCTTACGTTAACAATTTTCTTCCGATTCCTAGGGCTGTGCCCCCTGAGGAGTAAGCGTATAATAGCAATGTAAATTAAATGAATCTTTGAACTGTCATTTTGCGCAGGATCAACCTTTTCAAGTGCGGTTTGCGGCATTGTATTTTACTAAAAAAGACCTTTAATTTGATGTGCATATTGACCTATGCTTCCATTTAAGATTTTCTTGCGACTCCTTGTGGGCCGTCCCCCTGAGGAGTTATTGGATCACTGAATATGTGTTAAAATCGAGTTTTATGCTCTGTAACTTTGTACCAAGTATTGAAGCTCTATCTGCATTATTTTTAAAAATATTTAGCTGTCCTGGGACTTTTTTACCACCCTGTATATTCTTATTTCAAGAAATCGTTCATAAAATAATTTGTATTTTATTTTTATGTTTGTAGCTTTGAGTTATTGATGTCCTTACTTAGTCACTTTATGCACATTTTGCCAAAGGTGTGGCATCTTCAGAGTTGTAAATCATTATCAAAAATACTAAACTGGAACTACATTCTATTATTTACAGGTGTTTATGATTCACTGTTTTTTTTTTTCACATCAGTTACGCGACAGGTCGATATTACCATTGCGGGTGCACTTCCATCATGATACACAACCATTTGTGGACGGACTGGGGACGAGGGGTGGGTTTTTCACGAATTGTACCTACAATGTTGCCGGTTTTTCACAGGATTGCCTGATTGGCTAGAGTTGGTTTCTATGTCACAAATGGTCTTAAAAATGGTGGAAACACAATTCTCTTAGACCCCAACCCATACTCCAGCAAAATAACCGTTAACTACAACAAACTTACTACAACTAACTGCAACAAAGGACATGCTGGTCTCATTCCAAATTGCATAAATAGAATCCATATCGACATCACCTTTAAAATGAAAACAAAGAAACTAGCAGAACAAATTTCTTTGATTTAACCATTTAAAAAACCACACACAGGAAAAGTAACCATTTAAATCTATAGAAAACCCATCCAAACAGATCTCATGACAATTGCTCAGGGCTGCCTAGAGGAGGGACAGCAGCCCACATGCGCATCTGTGATTGTTTTTGGGGGTGGAGGGGGGATTTTATTTTACATATTGCCCTTGATAATTTATGAAGTTTTTCTATAAGTATCCCTAAAAAGTGTGTTTTTTTTTTGTTTTTTTTTTTTTTTTTACTTAAACTTGCAACACAATTTTGGCTATTCATAAAATTAAAATTAGTTGGGGTTGTGTTGTACAACTTCAGTGGTTTGCTATGTTGGAACCATCGGGAACATGTGTAGTGAAATGTAACGACAAAAGACACTATGAAGTTCCTTGAATTGTAGGCTGCACAACAGTCAATGTACGATCCAAACTGCAAGAATACAAAGATCGTGATTTTAGGAATGCAGCAGCTAACAGGATAAGCAAAGCAATATGGATGGCTATCCCTGATTTGTACCAAACTTTGTTGACTAACGTAATTGCCTAAAATTCCACTAAAATGAGACCAAAAACTGAACAGTGGTACAACTCTCAACAATACACTTTTCATCGTTGACTTTCTGAGGTAAACTAAATCCAAAAGATAGACTATGAAGCGTGGCTCATTTGAACATTCCACGCCTTACAACAGATAATTACAATTACAATAATTATTACTACAATAATTACAATTAAATTACAACACATAGTAATCTATATACCCACCAGAGTCAGGCCCAAGTAAGTAAGCTGACAAGCATATATTCAAGTCCCGTAGGAACCCAGCTCTACTCAAATCGTTGTGATGGATGTAAACTTCCCACGATGCAACTCTCAACCCCCACCCACCACCGCACTGCCGCGTAATCCTAGAGATGTGAAAACAACAGTATCAGTAACTCACAAATATCTTTGAATGGTAAAATGTAGTTTTGTATTTTTTATAATTAGGGTAGCTCTGAAGATGCCACATCTGGGGCAAAGTACCCATTAGTGACTATGTACGAATCAAGAACACAATGTTTTTTTGTAAGCATCATATTTCCTACAATAATGATACACTTACTCAACCACCCTCATTTTGCAGATGAAGAAGAGAGAGTGTTGGACAATGAGGAGGAGACAGCTGGTGAGGGGGAGGGAGGATGGAGACTGAGCCATCACGGATCTACATCATCCATCGCACAGACACAAGTCAGATGGGTGGACATCATCACTGGTAAATCACTTTGAAGATTTAAAAACACAAATTACCCCAAAAAGATAGTATTAGTATTCAGCGTATAAATTCTGATTCACAGGGGTGCCCATCCCCCCCTAGACTCATGACGCACCCCCCCTAATTGAGCAACAGCCCCCCCCTCCATTAATGAGGTACACAACAAATGAGAAACATTATTCCCCCTCCCAGCACTATTTTTAAAATTAAATAAGTTTTATAAATTTTTTAAGATATTGAAAATTCAAACCCAGTTAAATATATTAATAAAGTTATAGTTTTGTCTGCACATTGCTAGGAATTATACATATCTTGGGTTATTTTTTCGTTTTATACATTGAAGAAGTTGAAACATGTCTTATCTAAATTGATGTCCGTCTGTCACAGCCCAGTAGGTATTTTACGCAGCATACTCTAAAGAAAACTAGAGTACCGATTATGATTCTAATGGTTTAATAGTATTCACAGGATTAGCGATAGTGTCCTTAGCTATTAAAATATGGCCTCACTATTTTGGAAATAAAATAACGGAAGATCAAAAACCCAATTTTGTGTGATGTTTCTATTTTTTTTCTCCATGTTTACTACATACATCATTTATTAATAATCTGTTGAGAGGACACGTCACATATAAAATTACGAACATCTGTTTTGATAAAGATTCCCTTTTCTAGCTGTCACTGATATGTTTACATAAATGTTGTTTATGAATACTGTGTATGCCCTAACGATTTCCAATCACGTTTGTAACCATTTCCCATCACGTTTGTAAGCAAATCCAAAACCAAGTGAGATTAAAAACTGTGTGGCTTTGGCTTACATAACGGGTTTGATTTATCACGGGTACTAATATGTAACTGTAAATTAAATTTAAAAACTAGCCATCATCCAGGTCAGGAACCGGAGATTCTGTGTGTATCAAGTTGTACTTGAATTTTGATTACCGGGAAAAGACCGTGAATCAGTTTTGTACAGGACTGGAAAACTTATCTTTCTATATAACTAAAATTAGAGTTTTATAAGTCACCTCAATTTAAGGATTTTTTATTGCCAGACTATCTATATAGCGTTCGTAACCTCTGCTTAACGAATCGTCAGCGTCTTTCTCTTTATGTTGATAAAACGACCCCCTCTCCCTCCCTTTGGAAACATCACAGCTCCTTTGGTGATAATAAAATGGAAACAACGCTTGCGCCAACAATCGTCTGCTCCGTTTTACACTTCTGTCTGCTGTGCGCTATGTTACAACAGATCTAAGATACAACAGCTGGGAAATGATGACGATCCTAATGCTTAGTAAACTGTGATTGAGTGATAACCGTGGTAACTTTAGTAAGGCTGTGATTGGGCAATGAGTAGGCCTAAATATGGCGGCTTGTTGAATTTGTGTAGCCTATGAATTGAAGAGAACCCTAATAAAGAACAGGAGAAAAATTAAAAAAATAACAAGATCGTTATTGTTACTTTAAGAGTGTTTTTATTATATCTAAATATAATTTTACACTTTTTATCACTTATCTATCAATTCCTATGCTGTGATACAGCACCTTCCGGTACGGTAGCCTATCTGTCTATCATCAGCAGTCGCTTATAACACTTTCTAAAGGTTCCTTTAATATTTACGTTATTTATAGCAATGCAGTGTTTCTGTTTGGCTAGTTATTAGTTAAGTTTGAGTTAGCTATAATTTTAAACGTTGCCGTTTGTACAACTAAACCAAGACAAATGATTTGAAATGTATAATAATAGTGTTATTGCACAATAATAATTATTGAGCAATATTGAATTTCGTTTATAAAAATGCAAATCGTGACGTTAATGGCTGTTTACAGCGTTTTAATGGGTTTGTCATCTGTTTTATACTATTTTGGAATAACCGTATTTTTCATTACCCCCTCCCTTTTAACGAGCTTTATGTCAACAAAGCGTTCTGTGCTAAGTCTCGGTGTAGCTTGTGTCTGTGCCACGCGTTATTATCTTTTTCTCAGCATCAGTTGAGCGTTGAGCCATTCCGTGCCCTCCCTTTTATATCTCATGTCTTGCTAATCTTGAATAATAACTTCCTATACAAATCCTAAACTATCATAAAATCCTATTTTAACTAATTGAATTCAATAACATAACTTTTGTTATTAATTAATCGACTTTCTATCTGGTGACTTTGTAATATATTTTTGATTTTCGTCACGTTGAACACTGTTGCAATTAACTTTAGCCACCCCCCCCCATTTGATTTTTGCAGCCCCCCCCCCAAGAATTTCAATGACGCAGTCTGCGTCACAGCCCCCCCCCCTTGTGGGCACCCCTGTGATTCAAATCCTGTGAGCTTCTTGAAGATTAAACAACTACTCTACACTTATTACTTATTTATATTAGCCTTGAGGTACACCATGCAGTTGAGTTGCAAGTAAGTCTTGTACAGGGAGGGGAGAAGGGGGTACACCTCAAGTTGACAATGGGGCTGAGGCAGTAGGCCTAATATAAATGTGTACAAGTGTGTGATGGATTCAAAGATCAGTTAGATCTTTAAAGTAGAATTGTTGCACATTTAAGTTAGCACTTGTAATTTTATTTTACTTTGACAAAATCCCTTATGAAGACTCTCTATGAATTAAGGGATGCCACCTACTAACAGGGTTTACCTTTGTTGATGGCGGTCTTAGAGATGACCCTATAAGTTTGGCAATCTCTGGCAGTCAGCCCAATTCACACAAAAAAATCTCTCAGAACCCTCTCACTCTTTTCCAAACAGACAAACACTACCATTCTTGTGTTGGCATGTACACAGCCTTCTGCAAACTTCAAACAACACTTTCCTACATTTGTTATGTCCATATACTTGTCTGTTAATGGACACATTACCTAATACAGGATTTAAATGAACTATGCTTTAAATTGCACAGCTCTAATCACAGAGCACAATCCACCACACAACTTGGTGATTGAGATCATACAACTCTTATCACAGAACACAATTTGGTCACATCGCAGTAGTAGGGGTGAGCATCAATAGTCAATGTTTTGGAAACATCGACCTTTTTCTATCGATGTTTGATGTCTTTTACATGGACGGTATGGTAGGTTACCAATGGTTTTGTTACATCGATGTTTTTCTATCGATATTCTATGTTTTTTACATTGACAGTATGGTAGGTTACCGAAGGTTTTGTTACATTGATGTTTTTGTCAAACATCTATGTTTTTGGCCATTAATATTGATGTTTTCTATTACTGGAGAGTACAAAAACATCAACGGTTGACCTATCGATGCTCATCCTTAAATCACAGTTTGGTTATTGAGATGATACAACTTGGTGGATGAGTCAAACTTTTGATATTACAACAAGATTGAGCTTTAAAAAGAGGTGTGAACCAGCCAGAATAGTTGTTTGGGGTTTTTAAAAATATTACACAGTTGCATGATTTAAACTAGATGGCTGTATCACAATAATAACTTGTAGAATTTGATTTTATAGGAAACCCAATATTCAATCATTTTAAAGAACATTTTTGATAAGACAAAGTACACCAAAGTCTGTAATATGCCTATTACCTTGTAGTGCAATTTCCGTATGATACTAAAGGCAAAAAATTAAAACCAAAAGATACATTTACCCGATGTTTAACACTATTCAATTGTTTCCAGTTCCTCTGATGATGGCGTATGTTACCCGCTACATTTTCGGCACCGACAAGCTGCGACCAAATGCGTTTGAAGTTAGAGGTTTGAATGGCTCCAGCACAGGAGTCGTGCATTGTGACGATGCAGCTATACTCTCCCAGTGGCTTAAATACATCACAGACAATATCATGGGACTTACCCACTTACAAGTGAGTATCCAATGGCTGAGCAATCTGAAAAAATTTGTAGTTCCAAGCTAGATGTTCACTGCCTCCATTTAAAGGTCTTTCTGGACCCTCTTGTTTTGTGGAGTAGTCAACCTTAACTGAGTGGTTTATTTTGCTTGCCTCGTAGCTAGAAGGTCTAAATGGAAGGAAAAGTCTAAATCTGTTTCCCAGAGCCAGCCTTGTGTGGTGTGGGGCCCAGTGCAAACATTCAGAGCGAAGCCCCCATACTACAAAAATGTAACATCCTACCCAAGAAAAATCTCTAATGTATAAATATTAGTATTTATACTCCCCCGTTTTCTTTTTTCACAATTTGACTTTTGGTATTTTTTTTTTATTTTGCCTCAAGCAAGGGTTCCTCCTAGGTGTGTGGGGCCCTTTGCAGTCGCACCTTTCGCACGTCCCTTAGACCGGCTCTGGCCATACCTTTCATAACCCTTGATCCAGCTTGTCTTTGGGCAAAAATGATCCTGGCTAAAGACACAATGTGATATTAGTCAGTAGCAAAGCTATTATCACATTTATCTATCACTCATTATACTCTCATCTTCACCAATACGCACAATGGTGTGTTGGCATCGTAAAAACTATTCTAATTTAGAAGTTTAGAGTAATTAGACTTTAAGATAAAAAAGATTCATAACGCCATTCATCTAATACAAAGTAACTTGAACAAGAGCCCACTTGTCTTTCTTAGCCTGGTTCCTGATTCAATCCAATTTCCGCAACATATATATGTATAATTTTAAAATGTGACATTTCTGCAGATGAAACTGTACAACAGAAACTTCCCAGCAGCAGAGAGAATCGAGTACATGGGTTGGGTGAATGAAGGAATCCTCAACAACAACCAGCCGTGGCAGAGCTACCGGCCGCGCTTCCTCACTCTCAAAGGCACAGACGTGCTGCTGTTTGAGTCACCTCCGGTGAGTGAGTAGATCAACCCAAGGCCTCTTTTAACCTTTAATTTGTCCACCCACATACACATAAAGCCTGTTCATAGGATGTATCTAGCATTACAGTACAACAATGATCTGTACTAAACAATACTAGATCCGATGGAACTGCTGCGTTTGTTTCACAGTCAATTGCGCTAACGACTGAGCCACCGACTCATTTAAAAAATACCACCTTAAGTTTCAGATCTTAAGGTTTGCCTCATCCAATCAACAAACAAATACAAGCCACCTAACATAGCTTACGGCTGTATTTTTAAATTCCTTGGATGTGACTGGCTTAAGATCCGGGGACCCAATTTAATAAAAACATCACAATCTTAAACTTGAAACTTGACTTGATAGTCACACTTTTAAATTCAATATACTAGAGTATATACCTTTTGTCCATCTTCATTCTAAAATTATAGTCTAGGGATGACTAGCTTTGGGTCAAAGACCCATTTTCAAATCAAGGGCGGTTCCAGGGGGGGGGGGGGTGAGGGGGGTCGTGACCCCCCCCCAAAATATTTTATATATAGATAAACTATTATACCAGGGGAACTTTAATAATTTGTATTGCAAATCGTTCTACCAAATTGAAATTCATTGTAGTCTTTAAACTTGTGGTGAACGAATGGACTAATTACAAACTCTAACCCAAACCTCGGGATCGTTCGAGTCTGACTATTTTTTGTACGTTATGAAAAGTAGGGAAGATCGGCAGACGACGGGCGCTTTCAGCCATATACAGCAATGGCAGTGTCCGATGCTGGCGTTCGACGTTCGGCCGCATTCTTCTTCTTATTTAATTTTTCGGCATTTAATGTTATCATTCATTTTAACCTAGATGGTTGAAAACTTGAATTGGGTATTGGATAAAGAAAAGAAGTTGTATCAATAGTCGAAGCCTGAAAGGTAGTTGAATATTAATTTATCTGAGTTCAGCGAAAGAAATTTGTAATTACAGTAAGTTAATGTAATTCAATGATTACCGTAGAAAATTTTAAAACTTTAAATATTAAATATCATTTGTATTTAGAGCACCTGATGTCATATTTAAGGAATAGCACAACCCAATTGGTATGTTGCTAGCCACGAAACAACAACAAAATGGTAGTGTCTCAGATTTAGATGCGGAAGGGGCGGATTTAATTCCCGGCACAGCCACAAAAACGTTGCACAAAAACTTTATTCTCACGTTGACCCCTTGTAAAATGCCACTGGCACTGGCCTAGAAAAAAAAATAGAACACTGAGAACCAATTCTTCAGGCGGTAGCAGTGACGGGACGCCGACGTCAACGTTAGTTGGGTAGTGTACTTTGTGTAGGTTAAGGGTGCGCTCTACCTCAGCTCAAATTTCTCAATACGAAGCTGCTGAACGCCGATGTCCCTATACCATTGCATTGAACAGCGCCATGAAGAGCGCTTGCAAGCCTTTCGAGTCTGCGTGTTTACATAGTTATCATTCAACTTTTTAGTAAACTAATTCCAGGTTCTTGTTTTTAAGAATCTATTGCAGGTTTCCCGTTTTTTATTTTTTCTCTAAAAATTATTTTAATGTATTAAAACTCATGATAAAAAACGCCTATTTTTACATTTTTCACCAACCTTTGAGCCCAACATTTTTTAAATTATCAAAATGTAAAAAAACGAGAAACCTACAATAACATTTAACGAAAAATATGACACCAAGATCTTTTAAATCGGTTCACAATTGGGGCTACAATCAGGAAGAACTAAAACCCTTACATTTGCGCGAGCCAGACGGGTAGAGCGCACCCTTAACTGTTGCTTACTGGGCAGGTATAATGCAGTCGTGTTGGGTGCAACTTCTTAAACACTTCTTAGATCAAATAAGTTCATGGTTCGGAATCTTGGTCTGATTTTGGACAATTTCTGTTTAGCATGCACACTGGCACCAGTTGAAAGGGTGTTTTCGTAAATCAAACATGCTTGAATGTGTTGTAATGTTGCGGTATTCCTCTAATATTAAAACCACAAGTCTCAATAATGCAAAAACATTACATCATACAAGTTTATTTTTTAACATTTCTTTGACCTTTAAAAAATAAACTGGGAAGCTTGAACACATTAAACTAGGTCCTCAAAATAGCTTAAAAACCACTATAACAACCACGTTATTTCCAAATTTTTCCCGGGGGGGAACCCCCGGACTCCCATCCTTTGCTGAAAAATTTGGAAATAACGTGGTTGTTATAGTGGTTTTTAAGCTATTTTGAGGACCTAGTTTAATGTGTTCAAGCTTCCCAGTTTATTTTTTAAAGGTCAAAGAAATATTAAAAAATAAACTTGTATGATGTAATGTTTTTGCATTATTGAGACTTGTGGTTTTAATATTAGAGGAATACCGCAACATTACAACACATTCAAGCATGTTTGATTTACGAAAACACCCTTTCAACTGGTGCCAGTATTCCATACCCCCAGGCCCTCCAGCGACCCCCCCCAAAATATATGTCTAGGACCGCCCATGTTTCAAATCCACGTCAACTGAGTTCCGTCGTGTCTGCCGTGCAACCTGCGTCTATGTATCTATGCATGGCGTATCTATGTGTATACATGTATCTATGTATTTGTGAAGACTTCTGTTGGATTTATGGACTAACGTCAATTTGAAAATCAATCTTTGACCAAGTACTAGTCATCCTTAGACTACGGTTTAAAGACCGGAGACGGTCAAAAGGTACCCCAATTATATTGTTGTACAATCAGTCTTGGTGGCAATGTTTAAATTTAAATTCAAACGATCAGGGACTTAAATAAATATTATAATGGTCCAAAACAATGAAATGCCAGTTTTCAGATCTTTAAAATTTCCTGATTATTCAAAGGAGTTTATTAATACCATCCGAATCTTACTACATTTTAATTTTATCCTTCTCATAGACACACTTTATCTGACCACTTACCAGGTCCTTATGAATCATAATACAAACTTTGTGACTTTCAGCTCAACATCGGGGACTGGCTCGAGTGCAAGACGGTGTTCAAGGTGTACCAGTCGATGTTGCGGGTCATCAAAGACTCGGAGAACGTGGACGAGAGACAACATTGTTTCCTGATCCAGACGTCGGGTCAGGAGTCTCGCTACTTCAGCGTGGAGACTCGGCAAGAGCTGCTGAGGATAGAGAGTGCCTGGCATTGCTCAGTGTGTGCGGCTGTCATGAAACTGGGGGTCAGTTGGGTTATTATAAGTAGTATTTGGGTAATTTAGTCTTTAGATGCGGGTTTTGGAAGAGTAAAAAGGAAGACCATTTACATTCCTCCTTACCATCCTACCTGTTACCCACTCATTTCAGTTGTTTATCCATACAGGAATCCTAGTGTATTCTCTGGAGTCCCTCAGAATTTAAAATGCACTCTGAATCTTCATAACTATACAGTTGAGGAGTCTGTTGTACTGTCAATGTAGTTATTCCTACATGATTGTTTTGAATTTGTTTTTGCAAAAGAACAGTTTATATGTTTGAAACTCCTGGGACTGGCTCAGTAGAACGTCCAGTTTAATTAACACTTTTTATTAAAAAGTTGAGCTCTAAAATATACCAGAATATTGAAATGGTCTAAAAACTTGCTTAATTATCCTCAGATTAGACTTAGCAACTAGTTTCAAATTTAGCAAAAAAATACATTTTTATAGTTGAATCCTTCCCGGACGGGTGATGGAAATATCCGCCTAAGTCTTTGGCGATAAAGGACGGGTGACGGATATATCCGCCTTCTTTTCAGACAGACTGGCAGGTGCTTGAGCAGTAACCAGATGTTTTGCGGTACCAAGGCGCCACTTTCCTGCTCTCTCCATGGCTGCGCTCTCTCCCGCACTCCCCCCTCTCTCACGCGCCTGCCCTCTCCCGCTCCTCACCCTCTCCCCTCGCACCACCCACCTCTCCTACGCTCCCCCCTCGACGTTTCGCGCTCAACACTACGTTGTCTTTATTTATTGTTTACATATTGTTCTTTATTTATTGCCTAACGTTGTCATGGTCATATCTTCAAAGACGGGTGGCGGATATATCCGCTGCTTTTCTACTCACCCGCAGACGGGTAGCGGATATATCCGCACATTTAAAAACGAGTAAAAAGATTATTTTGACATTATGAAGTGTTCTATTGTGTTTATTTCATGTAGGTATACATGTATAACCAAACACAAAAAAGGAAAATAAATTTATATTTTTTTCTATAATTTTTTCCCGTCCTATATCACGATTTCACCCGTCTGGGAAGGGTTAAGAATGCAGCAATTTTTTACAAAAACTAGTTACTAGTTAGGTAGTTTAAAACTACAGTAATCACCTTTTGAATGCAATCTGTAGATTTTTATACTTAAATGGTATTTATACCCTTTCAAACTCTCTTTTTCAATTAGCTGACGGGGAACGACACCCTAGATAGTCCAATACCAAACAACCTTAAACATTAAACAATTTTAGCTGTCACTAGCAACTCAACTAAGTTGAAGCGTATGTCTCATTACAATATACTGTATCTCAATACTGGTTTCCAGAGTAAAACCTTCAACGTGACGACAGCCAACGGAGGCACCAGCGCTGGCCTCACTCTAGACTGGAACCTTGGGTTTGCGCTGTACGACATCCAGGCCCGGACGTACTCCTGGCAGTACAAGTTCTCCCAGCTGAGAGGCTCGTCAGACGATGGCAAGAGTAGACTCAAACTGCACTTCCAGGACTCAGAAACAAAAGCCATAGAGACTAAGGTAATGGATGTATTAAGTTAAGATGACACCAAGTTTGAATAGGCTATGATAAAACACGTATGACTATAATTTAGGGGTTTTCTTAAAAGCAACTCAATATGGCACAAGAAGCACAAACCTTACACTATGTTCAATAATTAGAATATTTCACTGTCATTGACATATTTCCAAACTCTCGACCAATGAAGGTTAGAGCTAAAAAATAATCAAATTTCAGGTTTAGTGCTGGCTAGGAAGCTCTACCCTATGAACACCATTTATATCTTCCTGCAGAAGCTCAAAACAACAAAATTAATTAATTGCCTTTTGTATATAAATACCGGTAGTCCAAATAAGTCTGCCCATCAAAACTCCACTGAAGTTTGAAAAAGGACGTAATTAATAAACCTAATACTATACAATCTTTTCAATGAGTAAATTAATTTTTCATTAAATATTTAGAATGCTGTACTCATTATAATAAATTATCTCTTTCAATCAATATGAAACGATAGAGTTTCTAGCCACTGTGCACAAGCGAGTAACCAGGATTTTCTTTTGGGGGGTGCTGACATTTAAGGTTCTTCAGGGGGCTTTGTAAGGGTTAGCAACCCAGGGAATATTATTTTGAAAATTTTTGAGCAAAATTGTAGTTTTAAGGCAATTTGAGCATTTAAAATATCTTATTTTGATTCATTACGGACCATAGTAAAATGTAAGATTGAAGTGTAAGACTTAGTTCCTTACCTTTACCGTTCGACAATTAACCATACTATTTACTTTTTTTTTTTTTTTTTTTTTTTTTTTTTTAGGGTGAGGAGGGAAAATGCCTTTACGCACACAGGTAGCCAGCCTGTAGTGTGAGACTCCTGAGTTTATCACAGACTACTCACTAAAAAACCCCCTCTACTCTGTCGGACACAGACCTGGAATTGTTTGTCACATTACTTCAAGTCAGGCCAACATGTGACCTAAGCCCACAGGGCTCGCACCGTTTCTGGCATTATTTATTTTTTGACCTACACCGCATCCCGGTCGAGGTCAAGCTTCTTGGCGCGGAGAACACCCTGGATGTAAAGTGACACACAGGTCCAATTGTCCTCACCCTCCATCATCATCGGTATGACTGTGTCCACCGACAGCAGTCCTACAAACTGTTGAGCCTCTAGGCGGGGCCTTTCCCAATGCTGGCAGTGGAAGAAAGTGTGTTCCACGTCATCGGGAATGCCTGGGCAGTATATGCAATCGGGTGACACGGCTTTGCCCATCCTGAACAGGTACGACCGGAAAAAGCCGTGACCCGTCAGAAATTGGGTGAGGTAGAAGTTCACCTCTCCGCACCGCCGATTAACCCAAGGTTGGACCTGTTGTATCAGTCGCCTGGTCCAGAGCCCCCTTGTCTCCTGTTCCCAGCTCTCCTGCCACAGCTGGAAGGTCCGGGTGCGTTCCTCAATTCTTGCCTGGTCCTCCCCACGGCGCTGATAAATTGCCTTCCTCTCCGCCGCCAAAAGTTTGACGGGGATGACTCCAGCAACCACCAGGACGGCGGGTTCGGACACTGTTCGATAGGCAGATGCTACCCTTAGTGCTGCCTGACGCTGCACTCGGGCGAGCCGCATCCTATATACCTCCTTATTGAGAGCGTCTGCCCAGACTTCCGCACCGTACAGGAGCACGGACTGGACCGCAGACATCAACAGCCTTCTGCGGCTGGACGGTGGACCTCCGACATTGGCCATTAACCGACTAAGGGAAGAAACCATTTTAGCGGCCTTGTCCGCCGTACGGGTGATCTGGTCTCGCCAGCTGAGCTTGCTGTCCACCATGACCCCAAGGTACTTTGCGGCACGAGTGGTTTGGACTTCAACGTTCCCCACCATCAAAGGCACGATGGTGTCAATCCTCTTTTTAGTCAGAATCACAATCTCAGTTTTGCTCAGAGCGAGCGAGAGACCATGTTCTGCCATCCATGCGTTAATGGTTCGCATGACTCGATTTAGTTTCAGCTGGGCAAGCTCAATGCTACGTGCAGCTATTAAAGCCGCAACGTCATCTGCATACCCAACTAGGACAGTTTCCAAATGCATCTCGGATCTCAAGAGGCTGTTGTAGGCGACGTTCCAGAGGTTCGGGCCCAGTATGGATCCTTGAGCAGCACCAGAAGTTACATCCATCGTCCTGGAGCCTTCTCTAGTGTCGTAAATGATGAGGCGGTACCGGAGGTAGTCCTCTATCATGCGCATGAGGTATGCCGGGACGTGGAAAGTGTTCTCCAGTGCGTCCAGCATATCGCACCACCTCGCGGAATTAAATGCGTTTCGCACATCAAGTGTTACAAGCAGCACAACCCGACGGGAATAGTTGTTAAAGTCCTCAGCTCTCATTACGGCTCGCTTTACCTCCTCAATAGCGTCAACCGTTGACCGTCCCTTCCTGAAGCCGTACTGACGAGGGGATAGATTTCCTGCAGCAACCACGGCTGAATTCAGTCGGAAACGGATCAACTTTTCCAAGACTTTCCCAGCAGTGTCCAACATACAGAGAGGTCTGTAAGAGGAGGGTAGGTCTGGGTTTCCTTTTCCCTTCCCCACGAGCACAAGCCTAGCTGTTTTCCAGCAGAAGGGAAACTTCCCCTCGGCCAGACAGGCATTGTACGTGCTCAGAAGGATTTGTGGATTTATTGAAAAGACTTTCTTCAGGGCCTCACCAGGTACCCCATCCGGTCCAGGAGCCTTGTTGTTCTTCAGGGATAGAACGGCCGCCTCCAACTCCTCGAGACTGAAAAGCGGTACGTCGTCCACCCTTCCGAACTCCCGCAATGGGCGCAGTGTGTGAGTCGGGAAAAGGGACTTTACAATCCTCTCCATAGAGGCCCCGTCCATAACGGAAGGTGGAGAGCGGGTGCCAAGCTTCTTGGTTACTATCTTGTACTACTAATTCCATTAAATTTTGAAATGTTCATTGTTAGTTTATAAATTAAAATTTTGAGTACAATTAAACTAATCTCTGGAGATATCACATAAAACTTATCTGTCAGTTACATAATTGTGCCTCTCCCACATATTTAATTTCTTAACATTTTGACATATCCTCAAGTATATTTCTTCTTAAAAGTTAATCAATGTGATTTCTTTTACATTTCGTCCACACAGATATGGCCCCCCTCCACCCTGGGCTGCAGTAATCTTGTTGAAGTGTAGTTCCACACAGATCCACTCATCTTACGAGACCACTGTCCACTACACTTACCACCACTAGTCTAGACATAGGGTTCCTACAAGCAAATGCACAATCACATATTTTGTATATACATGTTTTTTTATAAATTTTCCTAAAATTTTGTTATTAAAATACATAGATTAAGATATTATTTTATACTGTAACACAATCTGTAATGACATTTTATTCACTGTACACAACAGGTCTTTTAGGTAGAAGATACAACATTATAAAAAGTTATAGAAAAAATTGGTGTTCTTTAGTTCTTTTGCAATACAAAACTTTATATTCATAAGAGTTGGGCTGGTTAACAATATGTAAAAACTAAACTTAAAATATTTATATTAGCTTAGTTACTTGGTATTGTTTTACATTCTTTAATTGCTTATATTTTGTTGGTATAATATTATAATAACTAACATTTTGAATATATATTCTAAGTCAATAGTTTATTTTAAAAACTATTTTAACTGTTACATCTAACAGTTCTGGATTACTGAAAAAGATAGATTACTGATTACCGTCTAAAAATATCTGTTTTGGGAGGAGTGGGTATGCTGATAAATTAGAGAAAAAATGCCAAAGGGTTAAAATGAGTATCAGACTGTTATAAAAGTTAATTATAATCTCATAAGCCTGCTCCCAAACTCCATTGCCTCGGTGGTCTGTTTCAGTGTAAAAAACTCCTTTGACATTTCCTCCTTACTGATTTTCGGGATGAAACAGGACAGTATATTCCTCCCTTGCAACAAGGAAAACTGTAGTTTGTTTGGAAGTAATGTGCGATATGTCTTGCAAATGTATATGAATTACAAACATGATATAAAAATTTTCAGTCTTGTATAGGCCTACATATTGTTCTATTTTGTCATGACTTAAATCCGTAATCACGGCACTATAGTTTTTTCCTGCAACCGGAGGGACATCACATCTTCAGCGGCAAAATTGTGAACATATCCTGCGACCGCGCCAAATTCTTAAACATCTTCTCCCGCATGTGCTCCCAAAACTGTAACTAACTACCGCAATCACGGAGATATCACCATCTTTTTTTGCTTGCAAAACCCCCCAAAATCAAGAACAACTCTGGCGATTGCGTGGACATTGTCTTGTCACTCGCGATCTCTGCGGTATTTCAGACAAATGGAACAAATCTCATCCCAAAAAATATCCTGAATTGAATGTCCCTTGAATCCAATTCTTATGTCCTTGAATATTGAATATCCACTTGAGGATTGAAAATATATTCCCCCCAAAAATTCTCTCAAATTTTGGGACCCATAAATCCCCAATAAGTACGATCACATATTGAATGGTTAGCATAAACACGTAGAATAATTCACAGCCAACTAATAACCTGTCTTTCGCAATTGAACAAAACGAACTGACAAGATAAGACAAAGCGACAATCAAGTAGTACAATCGAGGTATTTGCAGTGATGAGTCATGAATGTGAACTGAGAGTAGCGAAGATTCCATTGGTGCCCAATTTAAAATGCTTTCTTTAGCATGGGCCCCCAACGAACCTGAAACTTCTTGTGCCCCCGGGCCCAATTTCTAAAGATGTGCTTACAATTGCACTCTAAAGTGGCTATTGATAACAAAGTAAAATCTGTATATATTTAAGATATTTTAACCTAAGTTTGAAAAAAAGATTATGGGTTCTTACTTTGTAGAGAGCCCCAATTCACGGACCTATGTAAATAGTTATAAGTTATTCTTAGTGTATATTCATTGAATTTCACATACCATATACTGAATATACCTGGTTTTATTCCTGCTATACCCATGCCTACCTGTGCAGTAAAACCATATTCTGGCGGTTCAGAACCAATTTAAAAGATCAGTCTTTTAGGTGAGAAGATTATATGTATTGGAGATATATAAAATATATATATATATGATTTAATTTGATTTTTGTTTTGTACTCCTGTCAGTTAGCCAGCTAAGCTTGCAGCCTGTTACAGGAGTTGGAGTGCCCCACATTGCAAGGGTTGCTGTTCTGCATGCATGCGTTCCTAACCGCTAAAGTCGCCTCAGTCGACCCAGCCTTCCTCAGCTCCAGAACGCCCTGAGCGCTCCTACTTCTCTCCACTTCATACAACCTCTATGTCGCGACAGTAAACGTTAATTTTCATGTTCTTTTATAATGCAATAGTATCCATTGTATACAGTTTTTAATATTTAAGATTTTTGTTGTTTGTAAAACTGATTTAAAATTGTGGTCTAGACATTCCAGTTAATGTAGCATTCCGTTTTCATTGTTCCTCTTAATGTTTTTTAATAGTTTTTCTTACGTGTACTTTTAGTGTTATTTATATTGCAGTGAATTTTTCAAAAGAAAAATTAATAATCAGTATTTATATTTTGACAAATATATTTGAAAACAAAACATAGCAAGATAAAAATTATGTCCAAGATTATAAGAGCAGGTGTACAAAATGTGCTTTTTGAAAAATATAAGCCCAAGACTTTTTTACTAAGAATTGTTTAAATTGTACAAACATTACTAATTACTATGATATGCAATAAAATTACAGTATATGAAAATGATTTAAACTCTTTGCAAAACGTCTATTCTGAGGAATAACTTTAAAAGAATGTCTTCTGAATTAAGTTAAATCTTTTTTTTATATTGATGCTATAATTTTATTTCAAAATCTTACGGAAGACATTGTAACCTTTGAACATGATACTTGTATGGAGTGGAAGAAGGGACTTTTGATTTGATTTATAATATACATGCATATATTAGAGATTGCATTGATTAATTCACTATTTGAATCACATACCGTACCTGCTAGCATGAATTTGAATTTGTCATGAATTGTTGCAAAATGTTGTGCATGATCAAATCAGTAAAAGCATCTTAAAGTCAGATATGCTTGAATAAAAAGAGCATGTAGGTCCTCAAAGATTTTGGAATTTTTTTATTAATTGAATGGCAAGGAGAGATTATTTCCTCAGTAATATTTAATTTTGTAATACCAATAAATATTGATGTTTGAAATGTCAAAAACATTCAAATAGTTAAAAACTAGTTGTATCTCAAGTAAAATACAAACTTTTATCTGTCAATCTTTGGATGGTTTGAAAATTTTCAAATTTTATATTTGATTAAATAAATAAATCTTAAAACTAATTCTTTTGCAATTAACTCCTTAAAATTGCAATTTTTCTATATTATACTATTATTCAGCAATTCAATTAAGTAATGTTTGTGGTCCACTTGTTCTTGTTATTCAACAAAAGCTAGCAAACAATTACCTATAACGATACAATAACTTTTCTATTTATTAGCTTAGGGCCCCAAACATCCTTTGTATATAGATATTAGTAATTCTAAATGTATTATATGTACAAACACGGTTGTAAACTTGTTTTTATTAATTGTAATTTTGTTATCCTATTAAATGTTTATCCATGTACATTAAGTGTATATACATTGAAATGTTATATATTTTCTATATATGTTATCTAATTAAAGCTTTTTAATGTTGAACTGTTATTAGTTTAAGGAAACGTTACCTCATTAAATGATTTGCATGATGAACTATTTAACCAACCTGTAACAAATAAAGTTGACTTCAAGGGGGTGCATGAAGATTTTTCACAAACAATGTTCTCACTATCTTTTCTTTATTTGATAGACATATCTTAACAAAAGACTAACAGTTTAAATAACGTCTTAAAAATTTATCTAAAAAATCTTAAAATGATCAAGGGAAAATCTATAAATTGTACATTAAATGGTTAAATTATTGCAGCAATCTGCTGATTTTTAAATCATCAGTTTGCTCATCTTTTAGTATCTTCCAATAAATCATTATAATTACATTTCCTCCAAATTTCTTTCTTCACCCATCTGGTAATTGAATTGTTTGATTGCTTTAAAAATATAGTAATAATCTCATTCTCATGATTAGTGGAAATTCTATTTGAATTTTATTTCTCAGGATTACTGATAAAGTTCATAGGTACATAGCACATAAGATTCTATGATGGAAAATAGACTGTTTTAGTTTCTGGTTATAAGTGACAGGGTTATAAGTGACAGGGATTTAAAAAGAAATATTTCACCGTTACAGAATTTAGTGGGCACCTCCTTAAGCAACTTTCTTGCGTTAGTTTAGAAGTTGTACATTGACTATCTTTCAGAGTATTCAAGCCTTTGATTCATGGCAAAGTACTACATAAATAGCACTGTAGATGAATTGAGAGGAGCACAAACTGTATGTCACTAGATAGCTTGCCTCAGCTTGTACGAATAGTACCTAGTAGATATTTGCCCTTTGGAATTGTTACCCACGGAGCTATTTATGATTTTGTTCCTTTAGTAGATAATATATCCTGGTTTTTCCTGGTTTTATTTTTTTTTATCAAGGTTGAAATTTAATCATGAGTATTTTTTTACCTCGGTTGTATGCATAAGATAGCTGCCTTATTAAACCAATGATTTTCAGTACCTGTAGCATTTCAAAGAAGCATTCAAAGAAATTCTACAATATCACATCTAAGATTTTAGAATCGGTAAGATCATGTTCGATATCTCCATGGTTAGATATGATAGCAAGTCCAAATAGAAACTGGTGAGGCTGTAAAAGTATTGGTACTGTAAATTAAACATTCTGGGTAAATCGGTTTTATGTGGGTTGAGTAAAACAATTGCCACTTAAAATCAAATTAATTAGATGGTTTACATTCTCGAATTAATTTTAAAGTCACAACAAAAGAACAAAAAAAATATAATTTTTGTATACAACTCGTATGTGGCATCTATTGTCCTTGTTGATTTTATAAAACAATGAAATTACCTCAGACAACCAAATGTGACATAATGTAAAAAAATATTCTACTTTTGTTAGGTTTTATTTTTTTAAATTTATACTTCTAACAAAAACTGAAGTTTATATTGTTTTTACCAAACAATTTTGTTTAGGTAGGTACTGAACATGACTACTAAAATATTTGAATATACTCATATAATTAATACCTTTACAATATCTTTATACCAAAACCAAATACATTTTGTCAATCTACACTCTTTCAGTACTTCACAAGTCATTGACTTTGGATACTGCAACTGCAAGTAAACTTCCCATTTTAATGTATTATCAATGTTCATGAGTAAGAAACATATAAATATCATGTTTAAATTGTCCGGATGAAGTCCTTAGTTACTCACAGAGCCGCTATTTTGATTTTTCCACTTATGTTTGTCAAAAAAGTGGTTAAAGACACAAAATTAAAACTTTACAAAAACATATGACTTTATATTGTTATGTGGCTAAAATTTATTTAAGTGTTCTGTAAAATTTCAAGAAATTTATAGTAAACATGAAATAGTATATTTCGTACCTAGGGCCAAAAATGAGGTTTTGCCAGCTCGAGATAGTTTTTAACTTAAATAGATTGAGAGCTGCAAAACCATTTCGGTCCGTAGTACGAACGTTATTGTTCACCACACTATACCCTATTACCACTATTCACCACTATATAATGCACACTGATAGTCAACACAACTACAACTGTAAAGTTATGTGAAGAAATAATTTGAGGAATCAGCAAAAATAAAAATAAATAGTTTGCTAGGCAACGGTGACAATAACACAATTCTATTGCAATGCTATGGATTTTGATTGTGTGTTTAAAATGCATTCATGTTTTAAGTAAGTAAGCGGACAGCTGATTTTGCAGCCCCGGCCAGTAAAAACCTGCTCGGTCCCCAAATTACGATGACAGCTGGCATTGCCGGAAAAACGTAACTTTCAGCCACCAATTAACATATTTAATACAGCCAAAAACATCATAGTGTGGTGAAAACACCCTTTCACCATTTGATTCAACCGAAATTCAACTGAATAATTTAGTTTATGGAAAAACTGAATTTGTGTTGCTCAGTTAAACTCAATTCATTTCTATTCTTGGACTAGCTACAGAATTAACATGGGATGGTATGTTTGGTCATATCCAAAGTCAATGTTTTATCCATGCTATATAAAGCACAAGACTGTTAACATGATGATGTGTATCAATGAAGGTTGTGCTGAAGGTGGTAAGGTTAGTTTCCTCTGCTTGTACATATAAAGTCTATACATTTGTTAAACCGTGTAAACATGTATATTCTTATAGATTAAACTACTTCACACAGATCACATTGTGTCCTCATTTTATCCCTAAACTAGTTAAAAGTGTTTCTGATCCTAAACATAATTTTCATCTTCTATATTACGTGATTGGAATATTCCTATCAATGCTTATGTTGTTTGTGGTTTAGAAAGTATCAAGTTTTATCAGAGATGTAATTTTAATTTTTAGGATCCATCATACACCTACATACCATTATATGTCTTTAATGCGCTGATTCTTTTTGTTTATATAGTGGAAGATTATATACAGTAGTAGAGTACAAGGATTCAAACAAAACTTTACATTCACATAATTAAGTCATTTACTGAGAAATAATAATATGAGGTTATTTGATTGTTTGAAACCACAACAGCTGATTGATTTCATCCAGAAAAATACTTATCTACTACCATTGACAAAAAGAATTAAATATAGACTGTCAGCCATGCTGTGGTTACCATGGTACCATAGGTTCTGGCCCACACCGCTGAGAGCGCCAGTTACGTAGCGCATGCCATAACAAATGGCGCTCCCAGCGGTGTGCGCCAGAACCTATGGTAACCGCAGCACAGCTGACGGTCTATATTAAATTCTTTTAGTCTATGCTACTACACAGGCACATTAATTAGCTTATTGTATTTCATGACGGGAAAAAATTGTAGGATACTAATCTGTCCACAATGATCCATATGTGTAAAGTGGCGCTGTGGTGCGGAGTTAGCGCGTACTAGCTTACAGTGTACTGCTTTGCCGACCTTGGTTAAAAACAGAACGATGTCGATATTATATGTAAAATGTGCTTTACTAGGCTACTGTGTTATGTAAGAATAGTTAATGCCAGCAAAGAGATTTGAAGGAAAACTACAATAACATAGTTACTTTTAAACAACAATAATTTGTCTTATGGACATAACATACCAATTAGAAATTGGAATCGGTAAAAGTGCGGTTTTTGAATCCTAAAATTAATTTAAAACTTCAATATATAAGCGTGTTGTGTGTTTCGTAGTTTTGGTGTTGCCAAGCAGGCTAACTAAAACATACAACCTAAACATTACATTTGTATTCACTTCTGTTTCGTATTGATATTAAAATTTATACTATTAAAATTCTATTTCAATTAATTATTGTTTTATTTCAACATTGGCGTGTTATAAAAGTGTTATAATATTTGTCTAGATTCTAGATACTTTTATTTCAGAATAACAAGTCAGACGGTTACATAATTACAGCATTTCCAAAGCTAATTCACTCTTCATTCTGTGGTTTCCATACAATATTGAACCCGTGGCCAAAAAGCATTTACATTGGGCAAAATTCAACTTAATTTTTCACTTTTTACTATTTAAGTGACTAGCAAGGCAATTAATCCATGATTAGTATATTATTAGTAACAGCAAAAATTGTATCAACACGTTGATTACTTACGTTTGGTAAAATACCAGTTCAACAAAAAGTAATGCTTTTTATTTTACCACAGAGTAGATATTCCATGTAGAAAAGTTCCTTACTATGTGCTTAACTCTCGCCTTGCGTAGTTCCGTCTTCATCATCGTATAGACAATGGTCTTCGTTAAACGGTAAAAGTATTTTTTTTATTAGTAGGAAAGTTGAGGGAAATAGTATATTTCATTACTAGGACCGAAAGTGGCATTTCCGACGTGCGCTCAAGTTTCGACGGGAATATTGGGGCAAGTGTCGGAAAAAAGCTTTTGGTACGAGTTATGAACAATACTTTTCATCACGACACAAAAATACACACATGCCAAATAACATATCTCAGTAGTATTAAAATAGTTTTAGATCACTCTTTATCATTGAAAATACACTTCACAACTAACATATACGGTTTCATAGTTATTGTAGATTATTTAGATAAATGTCTTAATAATTACTTCGTCAATTACGTTAATTAACTTAACATTTTGTAATTTGTACCAGTGTCTAAGCTTTCTGTATTCCTCTTCTTATCTTTCCCGTGATTTATACGGTGAAATGTGATAAGTTAAGCTGTTTTCATCAAATCATCAGTAATGTAAGACATACTTAAAGCAATTTCAAACATGCACTATGGTAAAACACAGCTAAAAAAACAAATGCATGTTTCTGTATGGATTTAGATTGTGCAACAATAAAAACAGCTGTTTCAATTTAGGGCGAGGGAAAATCGATCAGCTTATTTTCCCTCGCTCTAAATTTTACTTTCCCTCGCTCTCAATCAGTTATCCATTTACTCACTACGCGCGCTAGTGTTTTGTTACGGTTTAAATGAATGATTTGAAACAGCTGTTTTTATTGTTGCACATTCTAAATCTACACAGAAACAGGCATTAGTTCGATTTGCTGTGTTTTTAACATAGTGCATGTTTGAAATTGCTCAAAATATGTCTAACATTATTGATTATTTGATGTAAACAACTAAACTTATCACATATCACCGGATAAATCACCGGAAAGATAAGAAGAGGAATACATAAAGCTTAGACACTGCTACAAATTACAAAATTTTAAGTTTATTAACGTAAGTGATGAAGTATTTATTAATACATTTATCTAAATAATCTACAATTGCAATTACGAAGCCATATATTTAA